TCGTCTTATACGCCCAGTCGTCTTATACGCCGGAAAATACGGTAGCTACAGCATTCCTGGTCTTTCGTTTAGGTCTATCTCCAGTCTTGGGTATCTCTTGAGCCTTTCAAATATACACAATATGCTACTTGTGTTGTAGCTTCCAAAGTTTTAGATTTTGAAGCATTTCAGATAAGGGAGACTCAACCTGCACTCTTTTTAGCCTGGGGAAGAATATAGCAGAGGGATATAATGGAAGAAACAAAAAGAAGCTGCATCTATTTGCTTAGTCATTCAGGAATGCTTCTGGAAGCAACTAATTTTATCAAATTGGCTGTAAACATACAAAGCAATCTAAATTAACATTGTTTTGACCAACAGCTGCAGGCTCTATACAATTTATATGGAAGACTCATTAACCAAAAATGAAATCTAATTCATCACAGGAGGCCAATCCTTATTTGGCAAGACAAAAGTCTTGTTTAAATTTAGATTAAGGTTAGTTAGCTTCAGGTGTAACTACAATAGGCAATTTGAAAGAAAACACTAAAAGTTTCCTTTTAACAATGAGTGGCAGATTTTAGTTGTTAAGTTCCCATAACTTCCTTTAATATTTCAAAAGAGAATGCATCTTGATGGCTTTAGTACTTATAAAAATTTTTGCTATTGTTAACAATAATCAAAACAATGCTGCCTCTTTACCCAGATTCCCCTTTGCCATTTTATGGACTTTACGTGGATGAGTCTTGGCTGCTATATATCATCCTGCCCAATCCAATCCTTTGCAGATGTACTGATCTACAACTCCCAACATCCCCAACTAAACTAGCTAAGGATGGTGGGATGCTGTGGTCCAACCCATCCAGAGAGTGTTAGGTTGGGGGAAGATAAAGTATATCAACTTGAACACTTTGTTGCAGAAAGGTGATTGACACATTTTATAAATAACATAATAAGCAAGTTAACAAAGGAAAAATTTCTGACAGTCCTACTTCTTTTAAATCTTCTACCAAGATGCTCAGTTTCCAACAAATTCCCAACAAAACATGAAAGAAGAAAAGCCATTAAAAATCCCCAAAACCATAGAGGCATGTTGCAAAAGTGAGCTCCCAATTTATTTGTTTCAAAAAGCTTTCTAGTCTGTCTTTTAATATACTCATCTTAATGCATGCTAAAAGATGATGATGATATGGATAAGGGAACCAATGCCCTCTCAGGTATATAATGACAGGTGTCACGGTTAATTTGTAGAACCATAGCCTACAAATTTACAGTCAGCAATCGTAAGAAAAATCTTGAAGAATCAGAATCTCATTGATACTCTCCATGATACTCTCAGATTCCTAAAACAACTGATAAGCTGAACAGTGAATTACAGTTCAAAAATGAAAGATAAAGTACCTTTTCAACTGATACGGAAGAATCTTCCTGAGAAAACAGACATAAGATGTTAAGTGGTCAGAAAAGGATTTCAGTTTCACAGTTGTTTCCTTTGGAGAAAGAAAAAGAACAAAAATGATGTTTCATATATATAGTACCAACCTATTTAGAAACACAAAGTCTGGCAACAGGATAATGGTATTACCAGCACAGTAACTGTGTCCTCTGTGATGCTCTCAAACAATTGTAGCATTCCTTCCTCTAGAGGGCGAACATAGGATGCATTTTCATGAAGGTACTGGGAGAACTGAATGCAGAGAAACCTGTCAGTTCCAGCAGAAGCCTCTTACAAACTTACAGTCACATTTGTCTTTATGATCAACATAATGTCCCTCATTAAAATGGATTCTGGCACTGCTTCCATATTGCCATGGGGGGGG